GAAGGCGGGAGGTTTTACCCCCTCGCCCACCAGAGGGGAGGGGGGCACCACCCTGACAGAGCCACCCTGGGAGATTCCAACTCCTTCTTACCCCCCCATTTTTTTTTACCCCCCCAAAATCTCTCTCCCAGGTTATACCAGATCCCTTTCGAGATGCCGGGCTGCGCCGCCGAGCCCCGCACCCTCCACCTGGTGGGCGACTTCTCGGCCCCCGCCGAGTTCTTCGTCACCCTGGGGGTCTTCTCCTTCCTCTACACCATGGCAGCTCTGGTGCTCTACCTCCGCTTCCATTCCCTCTACGGAGAGAATAAGAAGCTCCCCATAGCGGTAAGAAAGGGGGGGAACCCTTTTTTTGGGGGGGGACACACACGCAAACACACGTGGGATGGATCCTGCCCCACGTGGGTGATGAACCTGGTGGGTTTCCCCCTCCAAAAAAAAATAATCCCGGCAGGATTTTTGCGTCACCGTTTGCTTCACCTTCTTCTGGCTGGTGGCGGCGGCGGCGTGGGGCAAGGGGTTGACGGACGTGAAGGCGGCCACCAGGCCCCCCAGCCTCATCGCCGCCATGGGGGTCTGTCAGGAGGAGGAGGTGGTGTGCGACGCCGGCACCACGCCGGCCATGGGGCTGGCCAACATCTCCGTGGTGAGAGCCTGGCACACGCTTGTGTGTGTGTGTGTGTGCACGCCTACTCGCACGTGGGCATGAGTCTCGATGGGATGGGTTGGCTTGGGTTGGCTTGGGTTGGCTTGGTTTGGGGGAGAGAGGTCTTGGAGATGAGCGTGGTGGTTCTCCCAGCCCTCGTGGGGGGCACACGCGTGTGCGCACACACGGGGATGTGGTCACCTACGCACGCTTGCCTAACCCAATCACGTGTTGGTGCACCCCTGCACACGCGTGTTGGTGGAATCATGGAATCACAAATTGTTGGAGTTGGAAGGGACCTTCTAGAGATGATCCGGTCCAACCCCCCCGGCCAAAGCAGCGTTGCCCAGAGCACGTCCCTCAGGAGCATCCAGGTGGATCCTGAAGGTCTCCAGATTTGGGGCTCCACCCCCTCCCTGGGCAACCTCTTCCAGGGCTCTGGACCCTCAAAGTCAAGAAGTTCTTCCTCAGATTTCAGTAGAACTTCCTACCTTCCAGTTGTGCCCGTTGCCCCTCGTCCTGTCCAGGATTCCAGTTGTGGCCTCCCCAGTGCAGAGCAGAGGGGGAGAAGGACCTCCCTCCACCTCCTGGCCACACTCTTCCAGGATCCCATTGCCCTCTTGGCCACAAGGGCCCACTGCTGGCTCCTGGAGAGTTTCCCATCTACCAGGACCCCCAGATCCTTCTCCTCAGAGCTGCTTCCCACCAGGTCCACCCCCCCAAGCTCTACTGGTGCCTGGGGTTCTTCCTCCCCAGGGGCAGGACCCTACACTTGCCCTTGGTGAACCTCATGAGGTTCTTCTCTGCCCAGTTCTCCAACATGTCCAGGTCATACTGGATGGTGGCCCAGCCCTCTGGAGCGTTGGCCAGTCCTCCCAGTTTGGTTCCATCAGCCAACTTGCTGAGGGGACACTCTGTCCCCTCGGCCAGGTCATTGGTGAAGATGTTGAACAAAACTGGACCAAATATTGACCCCTGGGGGGACACCACCAATCACAGGCCTCCAACTTGACCCCTCTCTGTTAATTAGAACCCTCCAAGTCCTGTCACCCAACCAGCTCCCAATCCACCTCACCGCCCCCTCGTCAAGCCCACGCTTCCTTAATTTCCTAACGAGGATGGGAGGGGAGATGGTGTCAAAGGCCTTGCTTTGA